AAGCTGAATCATTAGCTGTCTGCTAAATATGTTATTGTATACAGTATTCTTCTGTTCTTGTGTCTCTTTTTAATATATTATGCAAAGTGTGGCAGGTCTGTCAAATTCTTTCAGTCTAACTTTCTGAATAAACTGAAAAATCACTGTGTCTGTGTTTTATAAACATCCTTATTTTTGAGATGAGATGAGTAAACATATAGCTGTTATATATAAGTCAGCAGGTGTATGTTTCTCACCAAGTTCTGCTGACGCCGTTTTATAACTCTGTCAGTGTGGATGTAAAGCTTTACGCTGATGACACTGTTGTTTACACACATACACAAACTGCAGAGCTGCTGTGAAGCTACAACTGCTATAAAATAATCCCACAGCAGCTCCATCAGTCAGGCTGAAGTCTGAATGTTGGCAACATGATGGCTGTGTTTTTATCTTCTAAACCAATAAAATGTAACTTCACTTTGTATTTTTTATTTTTGCTGTGGTGTTGAAGCGAGACAGTGAGTACTGAGCGCTGAAGTCAAACTTAACTTCCTATAATGATTCTTTAGCCAGAGTCGACGGTTGTAACTGTCATTGTGTTATTGATGTGAAAAAGTGTAGCTAGCGGTGAGGAGCCTGCAAAGGAGAAACCCACACCGCCTGTCTGCTGCAGGAAGTAGGTGTTGATTGGCTGTCAACAGTCCTAATAACCACTGAGAACAGATTCATATCTGCTGCTGTACACACTCATCAACTCCTCTACCCTCTGAAGCTGGTTGTTTTTTCTCTTGTTGTCAGGAAACCTTTTTTCCACTGAGCCCTCCACCCACACAGAGATGAACTGAGCCCAAAGACCAACAATGTTGACCATACTCGACATAGATTAGACAGCAGCACAGACAGTAAACAAAAGAAATGAGACTAAAGATTGAAATAAAGTCTAATGTTAAACTTGTCCTGAGAACAAAATTCATTCACTCACCACCAGTTCTAAAGATATTGAACAACTCAATCTGACAGTGTTTTTATTAACTCGTTTTTTCCTCTATTTAATATGTTTTTATATTTAGCGCTATGGCCTCACAGCAAGAAGGTCGTGGGTTCAAACCCCGGTTGCCCCAGCATTTCTGTGTGGAGTTTGCATGTTGTCTGCGTGGGTTCTTTCTGGGTGCTCCAGCGTCCTCCCATCGCCCAAAAACATGTGGCCTAGGTTGATTGGTGACTCTAAATTGTGTGAGTGTGACTGGTTGTTTGTCTATGTGTGGCCACATGATTGGCAACCTGTCCAGGGTGTACGCCGTCTTTCGCCTGATCTCAGCTGGGATTGCCTCCAGCCTCCCGCGACCCTGTACGCAGTATAAGCTTTGACGAAGGATGGATGGCACTGCATTTTTCAGAAAATATTCAGTATAAATGAAGAACAATGCAATATTAGAAAAGACACGGCCTTAAATATTTTGCAATGTTAATCTTGTTTTAAAATGTCTCAAGAAAACAACAATATAATTTTAGGTGAGTTAGGGTAAGGTAAAAAAAAATATATGATCCACTTTTAATAGCCACCACAATCAAGTGATATAAAGCCATTGAAAAGAAAAGTTAAACATAGTCCAAAGTTAAATGTTACTTAAGTTAATAAAACTGTGCGTTAATTCAAAGATTAAGACAAACAGAAAAAATTATAAAAAATTTAAAGGAACAGCTTCTATTTATACTACGATTTAAAAAACTGAACTTCATGTATAAAACAAATTTTGCAAGAAAACAGTCAATGAAATAAAAGCAAATCCACCATTTGTATAACAAATCTGTAACCTGAAGACAATCAACGTAAATATTCAGTATTATGTATAAAATAAGCATTATATTAGAAAACCACTGACCGTTGTTGTTGGACTTGTTGGAGGTTCGTCATAATGAAGGAATGTGTCACTCAAATGCAAAACGTCTTTTTTAAATGTTATTGGTCAACAATAGACATTTATGTGAAGTTCAGGCTTTGGCCATGCAGACAGGACTTGTTAGTCGAATCGATTCATTGTTTGTGTTTGAAGAGGTAGATAAGATTCTTTACTTCAAGGACCGGCTCTGGACTTTATCTTCAGGCTTTAGCAGCCATGAGAAGTTAAATCTGCTGGGGGACAGTCAGTCAGTCTTTTGTGTGAGGACGATGGACGGTCCCTTGTTTCTGAGGATCCTCAGCAGTGCACCAGGCTCTTCACTATCAGCACTGTGTACATCAGACAGAGCAGCCTCTCTCGGCACCAGGACTGGACGGGCGCGGCTGGTGGAGGTGATGGTGGAAGTGATGGTGGTGCAGAAACAATCATTCAAATTAACAATATTTAACAATGTGACAATATTATAAAAATATATTTACCCCCATATAACATTTACAATATATTTACTATAAATCAAAATAATATATAAAATCATATACCACACAAATAGACAACATGTAAGAAACAAATTACATATATTCATTATGAAATACTGGATATTTGTAACATTGATTCTGCTTTTGAATTTGAATGTTCAGATTAATCGTGCACGTCTCTTAAATTTACTTTGATTTACTGGAGATTTAATAAGCCAACTGACAGAAAAATCCTCCACAGTCATTCATCTAGAATTTCCCACTGTAAAGTTTGTTTAAACAGCAGCTGATGAGAACACAGAGCAGAATTACAACACCAATGAATGTGATGGATTTCTAACTAAGGTTCATCATTTGGTGAATTTCTGTTTGCTGTTGATGCTGACATTAACCACCACAGAGAAACACCACCACCCTGTGTTCAGTCAGATGAAGTTCACAGGTCTGGAGGAAGAGAGGAGAGGCACAGAATCCACGTTGCTTGAAGTCCAGTGTAAAGTTTCCACAGTCAGTGATGGTTTGGGGTGCCATGTCATCTGCTGGTGTTGGTCCACTGTGTTTTCTGAGGTCCAAGGTCAACGCAGCCGTCTACCAGGAAGTTTTAGAGCACTTCATGCTTCCCGCTGCTGACCAACTTTATGGAGATTTTCCAACAGGACTTGGCACCTGCACACAGTGCCAAAGCTACCAGCACCTGGTTTAAGGACCATGGTATCCCTGTTCTTAATTGGCCAGCAAACTGGCCTGACCTTAACCCTATAGAAAATCTATGGGGTATTGTGAAGAGGAAGATGCGATACGCCTGTGTGAAATGAATGAATATAATATCCAAGTTTCACTTTTTGAATGGAATTACTGAAATAAATCAACTTTTTGATGATATTCTAATTATATGACCAGCACCTGTAGCTTTAATGAAGAGACTGAACAACAGAACACTAAATAAAGATGTGATGCTGTGTGTGGAAAAGGTTTCATGTGTCGTAGAAATGAAATGATGAAATGTGAGGAGAAGTTTAAGGGTTAAAATCAGTTTGTAGTTTTGTATTTTCATCCCAGCTGTTAAACAACAGATAACAGTCTGTGTTACTAAATTCAGCACCAACCTGAATGTGCTTGTGGTAACAGGAATGTTTGTTTGTATTTCTGCATCATCGTGAGCCAGATTTTTTATCTGCTGTCAGATTCAAACCAAGACGAAGAAACTTCTCAGTGAATCAGTTCAGAGAAACAGAGAAGTCTGGGAAACAAGAAGCATTTAGAAACAACGTTAAAATAATGAGAAGAACAGAAAGATAAATAGTGTCAGTAAGAAATGAATCTGCTGGCTGACAATAACCTTCATCTTCTTTTTCAACAACAGACATTTGAAGATTGAACACAAACAGGATTTTGGAGAATGAAGGTCTCAGTGTGACGAACCACACAATGAAAACAAGAAGCTGGTTCCACTTTTTATACTAGAGAGACACAGTATTTCACAAAATGACACTTTGCTTCAATGTAAAGTAGTGAGTGTACAGTTTGTATAACAGTGTAAATTTGCTGTCCACTCAAAATAACACATCACACAGCCATTAATGTCTAAACCGCTGGCAACAAAAGTGAATGCACCCCTAAGTGAAAATTTCCAAATTGGGCCCAATTAGCCATTTTCCCTCCCCGGTGTCATGTGACTCATTAGTGTTACAAGGTCTCAGGGGTGAATGGGGAGCAGGTGTGTTAAATTTGGTGTTATCGCTGTCACACTCCCTCAAACTGGTCACTGGAAGTTTAACATGGCACCTCATGGCAAAGAACTCTCTGAGGGTCTGAAAAAATTATATTTTATTAATTTCTATACGTAAAGATGGCCGAGGCTATAAGAAGATCTCCAAGACCCTGAAACTGCCCATACAGCGGTTCAACAAGACAGGTTCCACTCAGAACAGGTTCCACTCAGAACATGCTTCGCCACGTCGACCAAGAAGTTGAGTGTACATGCTCAGACAGCATGATCCCCTCCATTCGTAGACTGGGCCACAGGGCAGTATTCCAACATGATAACGACCCCAAACACACTTCCAAGACACCACTGCCTAGCTAGAGAATCTGATGGTAAAGCTGATGGACTGGCCAAGCATGTCTCCAGACCTGAACCCTATTGAGCATGTGTGGGGCATCCTCAAACGGGAGGTGGAGGAGCGCAAGGTCTCTAACATCCACCAGTTCCGTGATGTCATCATGTCACATGGTGAACTTCATGTCAAAGAGGGTTAAGACAGTCCTGGAAAACAACGTCCACATAAAATTCTGACACTATGGGCCAATTTGGACATTTTCACTTAGAGGTGTGTGTACTCATTTTTTCCCCCAGTGGTTTAGACATTAACGGCTGTGTGATGTGTTATTCTTAGGGGACAGCAAATTTACACTGTTATACAAGCTGCACACTCACTACTTTACATTGTAGCAAAGTGTCATTTCTTCAGTGTTGTCACATGAAAAGATAAAATCAAATATTTACGCATCTGAGGGTTGTACTCACTTTTCTACTGTAATACTACATGCTCCTGCCTTATGTACCTGTTGTGATTTGAAATAGTTCAATAGAGGAGATAAACTGTAATAAATCAGAATGAGCTCCGACTCAGCAGAAAACCACACAGCAGCTTCAGCTGAGCTGTCAATCAGCAGCAGCAGCCTTATCTGTCCGCCGCAGGGGCTGATGGGAGGTCTGAGGACCCGTTAGAAACCACGCGGCCCTCGTCTGATCTCACAGCTCGTCCTTGTTTGGCCTCAGCTGCATCAGAGCGCCACTTCTCCCCAGGTTCACCAGAGGAAACACCACTGCACACAATGCTTTTCCTCCCAGCTGCTGCTCTGTGCTGTCTGTGTTCAGGTGAGTGTTTCCAGCCAATCAGGAGCCAGCAAACTCCACCTGGAACAAACACTGTCACACTGACCTTCATCTATCTGTCTGTGTTTCTACAGCGCTGGTTGCCATGGCAGCAGACCTGATTCAGGAGGATTTAACATTGACCAGGAGAGTCGATGAAACTGTTTCATTCAGCTGTCGAGGAACTGACCAGTGTAACACTTATGTTTACTGGTACCAGAAGAAAGACACAGAAACATTCAGATTTATTCTAGATATAACTAAGAGTAATTGTCGCATAGATTCAAGCTACAGCAATCATCCTCAGAAAAATGATTTCTCAGCTTTGAGAAAACAGAACGGCTGTGAGTTACAGCTCAAGAAAGTTAAACCCTCTCATTCAGCCACCTACTACTGCGCCTGTTATAAGAGTGGTACCCACAGTGAGAAATGATCCGTGCAGCCTGAACAAAAACCAGCAGATGTCAAACAGTGTTTGTGACAGGAAGAGAGCAGTAAACCACAGCCCAGGTTCACATATTTCACCTCCATCTCAGCCAGAGTCACAAACATACTGAGCTGAGGGATTTCTTTAATATTCTATTGATTTCTATTTGATCAGATATTCCAGCAGGTTTCTTGTTGTTCCACACAGTGAGGACAAACTAGCAGCACAGAAGCACAATGAGCAAACAAGATAAAGAGGAAACTAAATAAAAATATAATCCTGATTCACTTTTTAAAGTAATCCTTAAAGTAAATGATATATAATAGATAAAGTTTCCAGCCAGATGTTCCAGATGCAGATTAAAGTCGTCCTCTTTGTTCTGCTGCTGGAATAAAGTCCATTCCTCCCTCACAATACTAATCTGCTCTGAATGAAAACCCTTCCAGCAGCACTTGTTGTTTAACAGCTTTCAGTAGATTTCAGCAGATCATTTCACTTTCTTCCATTTTAAAAGCCAAATCTTGGACACATGTCAGGTCAGGATGTTGCCCTTCTAGCAGCGGCTTATTAGGACGCTGGTTCTGTTGCCAGGTTTGTATGCTGTAAATGTCCTGTGAATGTTTCTCGTTGCATTTATGGTGACCTCCTGACCTTTCCTCGTGCACCACCATCAGGACAAAGAATTTCTGTAAACCACCACTTAAGCAACTTGAAAGTTAATGTCTTGATTTACTTACTGAAACTTTAACGCTCCCTGGAGAATTAAACACTATTACATTTAAAGGTGGAGTAACAGATGATGGAAAAATCCAATTCCATGAAAAATACAAGTTGTCATCAGGGGTGGATTAGTAATCTGGCATACAGGGCAAATGCCAGGGCCCCCCGGGTGTAACGTAAATTTTTTATTTATTTAACTGTTTTAAAAAATGGACCAACGATTGGACCATAGAACACGGACAGCGGCCCATTGGGTAATTTTCTATACTGACACCGGGTTGGCCCAGTCACATCTCTTACTGGCCCCCACTCCGTCCCCCAATGGCCTCTGTTTCTTGCGTTGCGGACAAAAAAACAAAAACCCCGATATGTGTGCCACCGGGGCTGCAGTAGCTTCAACATCAGCTGCAGTACCCGACGTAGTGCAGGCACAGAAACTTGAAGGAGTAAAGGAGAGCCGTTGCCACTGCCAGGCAGAGGAGGAGGCGTGTGACTGCGAAGCAGAAGGACAGAGTCACTGTGACAGAGCGAGTGAGCAGGAGGTGAAGTTGTAAGCATGGAATAGCTCAACCTGTAGGAAGGGAGGGTCGTAGATGTCATTTACACTGTGGAAACTGGAGACACGTGCTCAATTGCTCAAAAAGAATGCAATGCATTGTAAATAAAGTAGAAACATCTAACTTACTGTACTGTTTTCTTCAAATTTAGACATTTTATACTTGGGGTAAGTTTGACCCAGCAATTTAAACTTCAGAAAATGATATTTAATTAAAATACACCACACACCCCAGAACCCTTTATAAATCCAGAATACATGTTATGTGACTATAGAAAAATAGGCAAATCTCATCATCATAAAATCTCACCTACTGACTTAAAATTGGAGAGGAAAATCTTTTCAGTGTTTTAATGGCTTGATATTATTTCTATGTACATCTTTTTGTTATTTATAACTATTTATATATATATTTCTGTCATAAAGGATAGGAACGTATATTATGTAGGGGATCAATTTGAAGTTATGTAGTCACCAAAATGAGTTGAACAGCATAAGGTGCAGTCTAGCCTGCACTTTTTCTGCATTACTGTGCACATGATACATGCACATAAGCTACATAGATCTCAGTGTCGTCCGCATGACTTTGGCAGGCGATATGGTTATTATGCATGATTTGGCCTAGCGGGAGTATGTAGAGTTTGAATAGAGACTCCACACGTCACAATATTTAGCTCAGATACATAGTTGCCAATGGAGATATGTAGTCATGTAGATATGACTTTAACCAACTTAAGAGCTGGAAAGCTCAACCCAAATTTCCAACATGTCTAACAGTATTGAGTGGTCATCAGTGTCGAATAACACCAGTAATGGAATTTTGCCAGAATCAGTGCCAAGACAAATCTCATTCAGAACTTTAATAAGAGCAGTTCTGGTGCTGTGGAGGTGTTGAAATCCTGTTTGGTTGTTATCTAACCTGTTGAGAGTAAGAAGTAGTTCTGCTGCTGCTGGAAGACAGTTTTTCCAATGTTTTTACTAGTAATGGGTAGATTTGATATCGGACTGTAGTTTATAGAAATATTGAGGCTCTGCTTTTTAGTGATAATGTTACAAAGAGCTCATGAAGCGCTAATTCTTCCCTGTCATTTAAGGAGAGGGACCATAATAATTCTATAATATTGGAATGAAACATTTCTGCTGATGGTTGAGAAACAACAGAAGGATCTTTGGATTTGCTTCCTTTTAGATTTATTTTTGTTTGTGAACTGCTTTAGCTGGTTTTGCCTGACTAACCTCCTAAACCTCTGTATATCCCTTGTTTTTCCTGTCTGCCCTTGGCCCTTGTGATGAAAACACCAAAAATTTCCTGTTCTTTCAGCAAGGGCTATGTGATAAATGTCACTGTCAAGCTGGGCCAATCAGAGGCAGAGTATTACAGCTCATGCCTCCAACATAGCAGAATTTGCTAATTCGCTTACAGGATAGTGCTAGTCAAACATTGTACTTAATTTTAGACTATGGCATCCCTGCAAAAATTTTTGGGGGAATAGATTTGCATCCTATTCGTGGTTCATTCAGGCTGCTGCTTTAGACTGACATTTGCTGCTTAGCACTAAACACGTGTTACAACCGAGGCTAGTGGGAACGTCACGGTAGTTTTATTTATTAAGGCCAATATCACAAATCCCACATTTGCCTTAAGAAGCTTTACAATCTGTACAGCAAACTCCCTCTGTCCTCGATTCAGATCAGGAAAAACATCCCTAAAAGCCCTTTAACCTCTTGATGCCTGAATTAATTTATAATAAAAAATTTTTTTAATTATTTCTGTTTTCATTTGCTTTCAGGTTGATGTTAAATTAAGTGGAAATTGTTGATTTGTCTTTAGAAAATATATAAATTCAGGTATGATGTTGTTATGATTCAAATTAACAGGCATAAATGAGAAACCAGTCCAATCCAATAGGTCAGATATTTTGGCCTCAACCAAAAAGACCGACCTGCTGGTGGCACTAGATCAGAAGTCAGAATGAATAATTATAATAATAATAATAATGCATTACGTTTATATAGCACTTTATCATGGAAACTCAAGGCACAACAGTGAAGTGGGGGGAGACTCACCTCAACCACCACCAAAGTGTAGCACCCACCTGGGTGATGCATGGCAGCCATTTAGCGCCAGAATGCTCACCACACATCAGCTTGAGGCAGAGAGGGCGTGAAACAATAAACAAAGTGAATTAAAGAAGTGAATCCTCTGGGGACCAAGAATATCTGAACAACATGTCAATCCATCTTTTGGTCCAAGTCCAGTCCATCTGGACCAAAGTAGTGGACCAGCAGACATCAGCATCCACAGAGCAACACTGCTAGTGTGTCTAAAAAGACAATAAAAGAAGAGACAGTCATGTTGATATGAACTTTAGAGAAACACATCATGCAGCTGAAATATGATCCTGGTTCATCATCTGGACTCGTTCACCTCAGCTGACACATTCAGCAGCTGACAGGTTTTTGTATTACTCTGTTTCACTGTGGGAGAAATCATCTTTGGCTCTGGAACCAAACTGTATGTAACAGGTAAGAATAAACATTTTACTTTTGCAGCTTTTTATTGAACAAGCTGAAAATGTGTTTTAATGAGTCTCTGCTGCTTCAGGCTGCAGATGTTAGTTTTTTCATAATTTGTAGAGAGATTCATTATTCCTGAAAAGATGTTTAAATCTCACTGCACAACTGAAGTTAGTCTTTGTTTCTGCACCAGACAAACTGATTCATATCAAAAAACTAAGATATTGACAAAGTTACAAATACACAGCATTTGATCCTCTCAGCGTCGTCTCTTAAATGTTACAACATATTTTGTATTAAACAAATTATGTCAGTAAACATATTTTAAATAGCATAAAACTTTAAACGTGTGTTATAGGATAATTAATGAGTGATGTTTAAAGATTAAAATATACTACATTATAATTGTATTTTATATGATGATACATGTCTTTTAGTAAAAGATATATTTATACATGAAGGCAAACATTCATATTGATATTGAATATTATATTACAATAAACCCATTTTAGAAAAAGTAATATATGATGTTTAACATGATTCAAGATGCATGTATGTAAGATCTATGTTAATAACTTTGATTTAAAACTTTGTTTTATTGTACAACCTTTACTTACTAAAATCTATTTTTATATCAGATACTGAAGCTATTTTATTAAAGAATTATATTATATTTAAATATTTCCTGGGGAATATCTAAAGTTTTACTTTTTACTTATGTTATGAAAGTAATCTTTATTCACACTTGAAATATCCGAACGTTTCAGAACAAACCCATGTACTGTAGTTGTGTTAAATTGTATGAAAGTTAAAAAGAGATTTTATTTGTTTCTTTAGTGATTATAGTAAAAGTTTTATTGTAAAATATATAATATGCATATTGTAATATTAAAATGAAATTTTATTTATGTCAAGGTCTGTTTATTAGCCTATGATAAGTAAATTAACTGTGACAATGGGGAAAACCTTCTTTCCACACGTTCTCATCTCAGGGTGTCAAATACCGACGCTTTGAGAAAGCATGACAAAGCGTTGGCATTCGACTCACAAAGTGCCCTTCAGCATCCATATGATATGCCTTAATAGTCTTGATATTCAGACTGTGAAAAACCTAAAAGCATATCAGACACAAGGATAAAGTTAAACAGTTCATTTAACAACAGAAATGTGCTAAGAGGGAGGTTAGGCCAGAGTAGGGCTTTCCCAGTCCCGGGCTGGGGAAAGAGGAGCTTGGGCGGCCCTAACTGGTGAGGCTGAGTTGGAGATTTGTCTGGGCGGCAAGAGGGTAGCAAACGGAGAGGCAGAGGCAGCGGCTCAACAGAGGATGCCTGTGGCTGAAAAGAAGTTTACGCTAGCTTGGCAGAAACAGAGCAAGACACGTCAGACAAAACAAAACACACCAAGCTCCCAGCATGCAACCATAGAAAACAATCAAAAACACAAAGCACTCAATCGCATACTTGTGACACCAATATGTATTATGCTATTTATGCAGTTAGGTTACAAAAAACTCCTTCGTGTTTGGGTTGAAATCAGTACATTTCTTGATGGCGGAGGGGTTACACCAGAGTTACTTAAATGCCCAGTGTCATACAGCTGCTGAAGGCTACCTCCAGGCTTTCATTTCTTTCCTCATATAACTTCATTAATATTATTAAACATTACATGATACGTTTGTGTGATATGAAGGTGAATCCAGTCCATGTAGTGAACTGTGTGCTGTATTGATGTGGAGCTCAGTGATCAGAGTCCATGTAGTTTCCAGGATCAGACTGAATGCAGTGCTGGAAGCTGCTGTTGACTGTGTGAATGTGTGTCTGTGCTGCTTGTTGCTGCTGTCAAACTTCAGATGAGCCGGTAGTGAAGCCCGTGGTGAGCGTGTACCCAGCAGCATCCAGAAAAGGACAGGAGGAGAAGAGCTCCCTAATGTGTGTGGCTGCGGACATGTTTCCTCCTCCGGTCCGGTTCTCCTGGAAAAGAATAAAGGATAATGGTCTTCAGGAGGAGCTTACACCTGGTGAGGAGGAGCAGCGGGAGCTCAGACAGTTGGGATGCATTGCCGCCATCAGAGTCATTGATCGGGACGCTCGCTACGCATATAATTACCGCTGCTACGTCCAGCACGAGGGGGGGGGAGTGGAGGCCAAAATAAATCAAGGTAATGAAGACTTGATGACTGTGTTCAGCTGAGATTCATTCTCATAGAGCTGAGGAATGATTTTTCTTTCTGACTCCTTTTCTGTTTCAGAGGTTTCTGCAAAGACATCACCTCCACCATCACTTCCACCATCACCTCCACCATCACTTCCACCATCACGTCCACCATCACTTCCACCATCAACTACACCATCACTTCCACCATCAATTGAACCATCACTTCCACCATCAGTGTCCTTCCAGTCTCAGTGCAGGGTGAAGCTGCTCTGTGTGATGTACACAGTGCTGATAGTGAAGAGTCTGGTGTACTGCTGTGGACTCTCTCTGCTGAGGATCCTCAGAAACAAGGGACCGTCCACCTGCTGCACACATGCTGACTGACTGCATCTGACTGACCTGCTTTTTGTTACCATCAAATCTCATCAGTTCATCTCATGCTTTGATCAGCAGTCAGAAAAGTTCAGATGTGTTGTGGTTAGTCGTAAAATATATCTTTTACGCACAGGTTAGATACAGTCATCCTAAAAATATAAACACATATATACAATGGTTTGGATCACAGGGAACTCACGATAGAGTTGTTCATATTTGATCAAAAATTAACTTTTATCATGTGTCATTGAACTCAATTAGCCAGCAGCCAACTCTAAGGAGAACAGACAGAGTGGCCAGACCCTCTCATCTGTAGCACAACACAGCAAAAGACTGCAACTGATCAATTCTTCGCCTCGCCTAGCTCCATCCACAAAAGACAATAACAGCACCATTACACAGATCACATAAACATAACTATACTTCTGATTCTGCCATAAACAACATCTAGTCTTAGTTTAATGCAGGTTTAATTCAGTTAGTTTGGTCTTGTGTGTTTTGCTTTGTTTACCTTGTTAAATAAATGCTTGAGTATGTACATGCTGGTTTCTTTTAATATAGAGTGAATATATTGCCAACCTCCTCTACGTAGAAATCCAAATCCTTCAACCCACTATCTATTATTGATAATTTTGTTACACTTAATTTAATGTTATATTTTAGTGCATATAATGAGACTGAAATAGGTAATTGGCCATAAATGTATCTCTTATTTAGGAGTGGTGCTCCAAGGAGAATAAAGCTTTAGGTTATATTCTATTATTCATCATTAAATATTACTAATAGTAATCATTAATTTTATTAACTATAAATGTCATGTCATTTAAACCCTAATCCCCAACAACACATACATATTTCCAGTTAGTGAGTGTAAATTTTGTGGTATACTGTTATTTTGATACTCTAGTTTATTTCCACTTTTAATTGTGACTTGTATAATAATAGAAAATTAAGCTGAATCATTATCCATCTACTAAATATGTTATTGTTTACAGTCTCATTTTAATACATTATGCAGAGTGTAACAGGTTTGTCAAATTCTTTCAGTGGATCTATAAATCAATAAACTGAAATATCACAACTTCTGTGTTTTAAAAACTTGTTTCTTGTTCCTTCTTGTTGGAGTTCAGTTTGGCTTAATAGTTAAAAATCAGGACCAGAATCAACTTCATTGGCCATGTATGTTAACAGCTACAAATCATTTGACTCTGGTTGTAAGTAGCTCTCAATACACTATCCCACAGTGCCAAGAACAAAAGTACAGGAAGATACTGTATGAATAAAAGCAAACAGCTAAACAATAACAACAAAGCTAAACAAAGATGAGCAAACATAAACATGACAGCTGTCAAGTCAGCAGGTGTGGGTGTGCCATCAGGTGACCCCCTTTTATAATTGTGTGTTTTATAATTGTGTCAGTGTGGATGTAAAACTCTACGCTGATGATAATGTTGTTTACAAACATGAACAAACAGAAGCTGCTGTGAAGCTACAACTGCTATCAAATGATCCCACAGCGACTCCATCAGTCAGTCGAGTGTTGGCAACATGATGGCTGTGTTTATTTCTTCTAAACCAACAAAATTCAAAACATTTTATTTTGCCTGCTGCCATTTTGAAGCGTCATTTAATTATTATTAAATATTATTAAATTATAAAGTGGGATCAGATCAGACTGCAGGTGGTTGAACATATCTCCTTTTATTTCAGCTTCTCAGCTCGGAGTTCAGGATTCAAGCTTTTTCTCATATATTAATAACACAGATCAAAGCCATGACATGTGAGTACTGCGCGCTGAAATCTTACTGAACTTCCTGGAACGATTTTTTAACCAGAGTCGACACTTGTAACTGTCATTGTGTTATTAATGTGAAAAAGTGCAACTAGTGGTAAGGTGGCTGCAGAGCAGAAACCCACACAGGCCATCTGCTGCAGGAAAGGATGTGTTGATTGGCTGTCAACATTTTTTTACGAGTTCTATACAATAACCACTGAGAACAGATTCATATCTGCTGCTCTTGTTGTCTTGAAGACTTTTTTCCACTGAGCCCTCCACCCACACAGAGTTCATCTGAGCCCACAGACCAATAATGACAACCTTACTCGATATAGATTTAGTTTTCCTGTTTGTTTCCTGTTTGTTAGTTTTCCTGTTTGTTGCAGCAAACTGAGAGAAGTTGACAGAAGGAGCACATACAGTAAACTAAAAGAAAAGAGTCTGAAGACTAAAATAAACTCTACTGTTAAACTTGTCATGATAACAAAATTCACTCATCTTTCAAGATTTTAAATTATTGAAGAACACTATTTGACAGTGTTTTTATTGTCTTGTTTTTATATTTAAAGAACAAACGGAGATTTTGCACAAAATATTCAGTATAAAAAAAGAATAATGCAATATTTGAAATGACATGACCTTAAATATTTTGCTAGGTATTTTGCTATCAAATTTTAAAATGTCATCTGAAAACAATATAATTTTAGGTGAGTTTTTAAAGGTAAAAATAATTATATCATCATGTTTTTAATAACCGACACATAGATGTTCAAGCAAGAGATATAAAGTTTGTTTTAGAAAAGAAAAGTTAAACATAGTCCAAAGTTAAATGTTTTAGTTTCATTTATTAAAACTGCGCATTCATTCAAAGGTCAAGAAAAACAGACAGTCAAGAAAAATAAAAGAACAGCTGACAACAGACTGATCTATGTATAAAACAGATTTTTCAAAAAAACAATCTGCAACATTAAGATAAAGAACTGTAACTAAAGCTGATAACATGGATAATATCAACAGACATACTCAGTATTATGTATAAATTACGCATTATATTAGAAAATAACTGAACGTTGTTGCGGGAGTTCTTAGTGAGCTTCTGATCAGATGTAGATTTTTTATGAAGTTATCCTGAGATAACACTTTTCTTAATATTATCTGTATCATCCACATTTATTTTCTCCAGAAAATTTAATAATTTAGATGTTATCAACAAGAAATGGACTGAAGGATGATGTTGGTGTTATCAACAAAATTACTGAATGTATCTGCTAACAAGTCCAGTGTGTGTTGTTTCCACCATTGAAAACAATAAACTACATTGAACCACGTTCGTCATAATGAAGGAATGTGTCACCCAAATGATGGACAGTATGTGCAATTCAGATGTTGCCTACACAGACAGAACTTGTTAATCAGATCAATTCATTGTTGGTTTTAGAAGAGGGGTCGGCTCTGGACTTTATCTTCAGGCTTTAGCAGACGTTGAGCGTTAAAGCTGCAGTAGGACAGTCAGTCAGTCACTTGTGTGAGGTCGGTGGACGGTCCCTTGTTTCTGAGGATCCTCAGCAGAGAGAGTCCACAGCAGTACACCAGACTCTTCACTATCAGTGCTGTGTACATCAGGCAGAGTAACCTCTCTCTGTGCCAGGACTGGACGGGCGCGGCTGGTGGAGGTGATGGTGGAATAAATGGTGGAAGTGTTGGTGGAGGTAATGGTGGAAGTGTTGGTGGTGCAGAAATCTCTGAAACAGAAAAGGAGTCAAAAAGAAATGTCAGTCCTCTGCTCCTCTGCTCTCTTTGACAGTGTCTAGTCACCGAGCCTTCTTTACCTTGTTCTGTTTGGGCCTCCACCTTCCCCCCCTCGTGCTGGACATTACAGAGGTATTTATATGTGTAGAGAGCATCCCGATCAATCACTCTGATGGCGGCGGTGCATCCTGAATTTCTCTCTCCCTCAGCTAGGGGCAGCTCCTCCAGAGGACCATTCACCTTTCGTCTTTTCCAGGAGAAGCGGACCACAGGAGGAAACATGTTTGAGGCCACACACAGCAGGGAGCTCTTCCCCTCATGGTTTTCTCTGGATGCTGCTGGGTACACGCTCACCACGGGCTTCACTACCTGCTTATCTGAAGTTTGACAGCAGCAACAAGCAGCACAGACACACATTCACACAGTCAACAGCAGCTTCCAGCACTGTTTATTAACCAATCTATCCAATTACTCTGATATAACATATCTTATGCTAAAGAACATTTGTTTACCAGCATATATTTTAATATAGACATTAAACATACATATGTTTCTGATATTGTGTTTACCCCACACATTTCAATAAAGGTAAATACAATATTATTAAACATATTTTACTTTCCCATGTTTTACTTATTTAAAAAAAACTTAATCACAAAATATACACTTGGTAATAAATATATCTTTCTCTTGTTTTTATATTTGCCGCCATATATATACAGATAATCTAAAATGTATATCTAGATATTTATATACGGTATATAATGTTTTTAGATTTTGAATGTACCTTGATATGTAGAATGTATATTGTACATACATTGTGGTAAAAATTTATTTGTATATGATTCCATGATTGTAAAATAGTGAAACTTGTAAAAACCCTGATGCGATTTGTATTTCTTAGAATATGTTTTTCACAATATAAAATAAATATTTAGAACACTAAATATTAATCATACAAATTAACAATATTAGACAAATATATTTACCACCATGTAATATTTACAATATATTTCTCAAACATCAAAATATATTATATATTATCATATACCACACAAATAAACAACCAGTAAGAAACAAATAACGCATATTCACTAATATTATGAAATACTGGATATTTATAACGTCGATTCTGCTTTTGAATTTGAAAATTTAGGTATCTCTGGAGAATCGCGCTCGTCTCTTAAATTTATTTTGATTTACTGGAGACTTAAAAAGTCAATCATTTATCTAGAATTTCCCACTGTGAAGTTTGATTAAACAGCAGCTGATGAGAACACAGAGCAGAGTTACAACATCAACCCTGAGTTTCTCTCATTACTTTAAGGTTTCAGGATGACCAAGAAGATGGTTGGCAACAAAACTTAATGACCTCTACAATAAAACAACAGAAGGAAAACTGATGTTTAATCTTACCTGTTACAAAGAGTTTAGTTCCAGAGCCAAATATCAGGTATCTGTTGGACCCACTGGATCCTCCCACAGTGAAATACACTAATACAAAAACCTGTCTGCTGCTGAATGAGTCAGCTGAGACCAACTTATGAACCAGGAAGCTCAATGATGTTCACATACAGTGTACAGTGTTTATAGAAATTATAGAGATGTAAGTAGATAGAAAAGTCTTACAGGTGAATATTAACTATACACACACACATATGAATCACACATCCCGTAAGGCTTTTGGAGGTGAAATATGTGAACCTGGGCTGTGGTTTACTGCTCTCTTCCTGTCACAAACACTGTTTGACATCTGCTGGTTTTTGTTCAGGCTGCACGGATCATTTCTCACTGTGGAGACCAAACTTCCAACAGGAGCAGTAGTAGGTGGCTGAATGGAGGAGTTTAATATTTGTGATCACCAACTCACAGCCTTTCTGTTTTCTCAAAGCTGAGAAATCATCTTCCTGAGGATGATTGTAACCTGAAAAAACTCGACCATTACTCCTGTTAATATCTAGAATCCTTGTGAATGTTTCTGTGTCTTTCTTCTGGTACCAGAATACATTATCTCTGTCACACTGGTCAGTTCCTCGACAGCTGAAGGAAACAGTTTCACCGACTCTCCTGGTCCATGTTAAATCCTCCTGAATCAGGTCTGCTGCCATGGCAACCAGCGCTGTAGAGACACAGACAGATAGATGAAGGTCAGTGTGACAGTGTTTGTTCCAGGTGGAGTTTGCTGGCTCCTGATTGGCTGGAAACACTCACCTGAACACAGACAGCACAGAGCAGCAGCTGGGAGGAAAAGCATTGTGTGCAGTGGTGTTTCCTCTGGTGAACCTGGGGAGAAGTGGCGCTCTGATGCAGCTGAGGCCAAACAAGGACGAGCTGTGAGATCAGACGAGGGCCGCGTGGTTTCTAACGGGTCCTCAGACCTCCCATCAGCCCCTGCAAAACAAGGCTACTGTCTGACAATAGGTCCATTTCACAGCAAACATGTCCCAGTGAAACATGACACCAACAGTCTGAAACTGAAGCAGCTTAATGGAATTCAGCCCTAATTATTTTCTTGTTTACACCCCTAACGTGTCAAAATGTCTCTCTGAAAAGGGCCCATTATAATGACAGTTTTTAACAGTTTAAAGCTAGTGTACAACTTGAATGTTTTAGTTTTGGTACAATCTGAATGCTTTTATTAACTTCATTTGATGCATAACAGCTTAAATTAAATTAATAATAAGTATTATGAAGTACTTTCTCCATCATTCATTTTTTGGAGTTGCTCCTAATTTCATTAATTAAAAGTATAAACACAAGCAGCAGCTTATTTGCTTCTTAAACTCGTTCTGAAAATATTTATTGAAATGTTAATGGAATAACACGGTCGAACCAACCTGATAAATGTCTGTTCCTTTGAAAAGCTTAAGGAACGGTTACAATACATTTAATATTATTTTAAGGGATGTTTGTTAATAACTATGATAAAATGACTAATGAATATTTCCTGTCACAAAGGTGTGACATCAATAAATAAGCTCCAAGACCAAGGCTGTGTGATGGATTTCTAACTAAGGTTCATCATGTGGTGAATTTCTGTTGATGCTGACATTAACCAACACAGAGAAACACCACCACCCTGTGTTCAGTCAGATGAAGTGCACAGGTCTCCAGATGCTAAAAATAAAACATAGTGATATCTAGCGGATAAAAAATAAAAATAGAATTGACACTATTTAACAGTATTACTGGCATCATTGTTGTTAGTATTCCCATTATACTAAATGTATCATGTCAATACAACACAGTAAATTGTTTCATGTGTCGCAGAAATGAAATGATGAAATGTGAGGGGACGTTTAAGGGTTAAAGTCACAGTTTGTACTTTTGTATTTTCATCCCAGCTGTTAAACAACAGATAACAGTCTGTGTTACTAAATTCAGCACCAACCTGAATGTGTTTGTGGTAACAGGAATGTTTGTTTGTATTTCTGCATCATCGTGAGCCAGATTTTTTATCTGCTGTCAGATTCAAATCAAGACGAAGAAACTTCTCAGTGAATCAGTTCAGAGAAACAGAGAAGTCTGGGAAACAAGAAATAGTTCAAAAGAGGAGATGAATTATAATGAAAGCAGAATGATCTTTGTTTTCACATTAACACCTGTGTACAAACAGTGATGTGTCACAGATGTGCATCTCTATGGTAACTATGTGCTGCCTGTTGCTCCTGGTCTCCACCTCCACTTTAAAACCTCCGACTCAGCAGAAACCCACACAGCAGCTTCAGCTGAGCTGTCAATCAGCAACAGCAGCAGCCTTATCTGTCCGCCGCAGGGGCTGATGGGAGGTCTGAGGACCCATTAGAAACCACGCGGCCCTCGTCTGATCTCACAGCTCGTCCTTGTTTGGCCTCAGCTGCATCAGAGCGCCACTTCTCCCCAGGTTCACCAGAGGAAACACCACTGCACACAATGCTTTTCCTCCCAGCTGCTGCTCTGTGCTGTCTGTGTTCAGGTGAGTGTTTCCAGCCAATCAGGAGCCAGCAAACTCCACCTGGAACAAACACTGTCACACTGACCTTCATCTATCTGTCTGTGTCTCTACAGCGCTGGTTGCCATGGCAGCAGAGCTGATTCAGGATTTAACATTGACCAGGAGAGTCGATGAAACTGTTTCCTTCAGCTGTCGAGGAACTGACCAGTGTGACTATGATTATGTATTCTGGTACCAGAAGAAAGCTAAAGAAACATTCACAAGGATTCTAGATATTAACAGAAATACTGGTAGCATAGATTCAGGTTACGATCATCCTCAGAAAGATGATTTCTCTGCTGTGAGAAAACAGAACGGCTGTGAGTTGCAGCTCAAGAAAGTTAAACCCTCTCATTCAGCCACCTACTACTGCTCCTGTTATAAGAGCGGCGCCCACAGTGAGAAATGATCCGTGCAGCCTGAACAAAAACCAGCAGATGTCAAACAGTGTTTGTGACAGGAAGAGAGCAGTAAACCACAGCCCAGGTTCACATATTTCACCTCCATCTCAGCCAGAGTCACAAACATACTGAGCTGAGGGATTTCTTTAATATTCTATTGATTTCTATTTGATCAGATATTCCAGCAGGTTTCTTGTTGTTCCACACAGTGAGGACAAACTAGCAGCACAGAAGCTCAATGATCAAACAAGATAAAGAGAAAACTATTAAAGTACAAACTGAATAAAAGTGTAATCCAGATGAAGGCCACCTGCCTGTACACACCCATTTTACAGAAGAGAAGACCTGTGAGGAAGGCCAACCAACAGAGCAAGAGAGAGGCTGAGTCCTATAAACCAACTAGCAGCAAATGCAGCAGCTCATCCACGAGCACTGCAGGTCTCATGATTTCACACTGTACTATTATTGATTACATCACATGCCACACGTTCTCTGTTGGTGATTGGCTAACGACCTGTTTCTAAATTTTACATCAACCACATGGTTTCGTTCTGCAGTCCATCACAAGAAGCACGCTGAGAGGACACACACGAGGCTAGTCTGTCTGAACTGCAATTCAAAGGATAAACCTGGGATCTGGGATCAAAACGGGGAGTAAATCTCTCTCTCTCAATGCACACAAGCCTTTTTCCATCTATTCCAAAACCAATCACTATCAATAAGGAGATGGTGATTTTGTAGACAAGGGATCCTAATTACTAAAAAATATGAATAGAGTGATAAATCTCTTTTCCCAGATTCATAGTGAAAAACAGTGCACTTGAACTGACTAAGCTTGGCTGATGGAGCCTTACTGGCTCTTTACAGTCTGCCAAGGACTTCCAAGACTGAACCCTGACCTGACCTCCTACTTAGGTTGTTGACCAAAATAAGATTACAGTACCAGTTTTAATACTACATCTTGGGGGAAACCAGATGCCTGGTGCTTTGTTGTCCTGTTGCTGTCAGGTCAATGTGGAGCCCAAAGGCAAGACACGGAGCAGAGCAGGTACAGTTCTTGATATTTATTACCAACTAAGAGAGAGCAAACTTACAAGGAGTGGCTGAGTCCAGTGAATCCAAAATAATAAACCATCCAAACGAACTGAATCTGCTTTAATGGAAGACTTAACAGCCACTCAGGGTCAGAGAGGGAATGTAGACAGTCTGTGTTATCAGACACTTCTCTTTCATCCCTGTGTCGTCACAGGGTTTGTGTTTGTGTATGAACATCTGTGCCTCTCCAGTCCCATGGGAAGTGGAGTTTTCATCACCTCTGTGTGAGGAAGCAGTCTCCCTGCTTTAGAAGTTATATTTGTCCTCTGCTCCAGGCCAGATGTCTGATACTGCTCTAGGTGGAGGACCTCTCTTCGATATATTTTTCATGTAGCCTACTTCTGTTTTTTCTTCTTTAAAAAGTAAAAAAAGACAACGGTTTGTTGTAATTCATTTATTTGTTCAATTCTCCCAAGAAAATAGACACATTTCCACATCAAGGACCAGACCTGGATTTAACTCTTCTGAACCCTCCGCTGGTTTCAACTTTACAAACTCACCCTTTGAACCTTTGTCTAAAATGATGCAGCAGACATGTACAAATGTTCCATCTGATGGAGTCCTGGGTCTGAAAATTTCACTCAGTCAAACATCATGCAGCTTTAATGAAGAGGCTGAACAAGAAAATACAAATTTTGTGTTTTATTGTATTTTCACCACAGCTGTTAAACAACAAATGACAAAAGTCTGTGTCATTAAATTCCTCTCCTATTTAAAACTTCTGAATCAGAGAAAAAGACATAACAGCTTCAGCTGCTAGTTTGTCCTCACTGTGTGAGCAGCAGCCTTATCTGTCCGCCGCAGGGGCTGATGGGAGGTCTGAGGACCCGTTAGAAACCACGCGGCCCTCGTCTGATCTCACAGCTCGTCCTTGTTTGGCCTCAGCTGCATCAGAGCGCCACTTCTCCCCAGGTTCACCAGAGGAAACACCACTGCACACAATGCTTTTCCTCCCAGCTGCTGCTCTGTGCTGTCTGTGTTCAGGTGAGTGTTTCCAGCCAATCAGGAGCCAGCAAACTCCACCTGGAACAAACACTGTCACACTGACCTTCATCTATCTGTCTCTGTCTCTACAGCGCTGGTTGCCATGGCAGCAGACCTGATTCAGGAGGATTTAACATTGACCAGGAGAGCTGGTCAAACTGTTTCCTTCAGCTGTCGAGGAACTGACCAGTGTGACAATGATTACTTATACTGGTACCAGAAGGAAGACATAGAAACATTCACAAGGATTCTGCGGATTGCTAGGAGTAGTTGTAACATAGCTAACAGGTACAATCATCCTCAGAAAGATGATTTCTCAGCTGTGAATAAACAGAACGGCTGTGAGCTGCAGATCCAGAAAGTTGAACTCTCTCATTCAGCCACCTACTACTGCGCCTGTTATAAGAGTGGTACCCACAGTGAGAAATGATCCGTGCAGCCTGAACAAAAACCAGCAGATGTCAAACAGTGTTTGTGACAGGAAGAGAGCAGTAAACCACAGCCCAGGTTCACATATTTCACCTCCATCTCAGCCAGAGTCACAAACATACTGAGCTGAGGGATTTCTTTATTATTCTAGTTATTTATATTAAATCAGATATTGGGCGGCACGGTACTGCAGTGGTTAGCACTGTCCCCACACAGCAAGAAGGTCATGGGTTCAAACCTTGGTCATCCCTGGCCTTTCTATGTAGAGTCTGCATGTTCTCTCTGCGTCTGTGTGGTTTCTCTCCGGATGATCCGGCTTCCTCCCAGTGTCCAAAGACATGCAGGCTATGTTAACTGATGTATATGTGTGGCCCTGTGATGGACGGACAACCTGTCCAGGGTGTACCACATCTTTCGCCCCGTGTCAGCTGGAATTGGCTCCTCTACACAGGATATGAGCTTGTAAATGCAGCAGGTCATCTGCGAGCACTACAGGTCTCAAATTTTCACACTATACTATTATTGATTACATTTGGGCTGGATTGGGACGAAAAATCTGCCATGGCATTTTTGGCCCAGGTGGCCCACCAAAATCGGTCCGACACCCCTCACCAATACAATATGCTTCTGTTTCCCCATTGCTCTGTGGAAACCTAAGGCTGCCGGTGATGCTGAAACCCATAAGAATCCGCAAAGAAAATTAAAGCTTGTCCAGAAAACTGAGGCCCGTTGTCCAACATCAGGACCTCTTTGACTTTAGATAGACGATGACGTCAGTGGACCTGGTGCGACATAGCTTTCCGATCTCTACATACCTGGAAAAATAGTCAACAACGAGCAGGTATATTTTTCCTCAGAAGACAAACAAGTCCACCCCAACTTCTGCCATGGTGTATAGGGATGATTGATTCTGATGGGATCAATGGCTCTTTGTGGTTTTGTCGTTCTTGTATGCATGTTCTGCAGTTGAGAACCATTTCGTTCACTTGCTGACCAAGCCCCCGCCACCAAAATAACTGTCAAGCTCGTTTTTTGCACTTCACCACACCTTGGTGTCTTTCATGTAGTTTGGCTAGAACATTGTTCCGCATTGCCGAAGGTATCACAAGTCGTGTGTCTTTCAGCAGTAAACCATCTTTAACAGTAAGTGTAGCTCGCTCACACCAATTGCTTTTCAGCACAGGTTCTTGTTTTGCATACACCGGCCATCCGTCTGTGCTTAGGGCCATAACACGAGAACAGACACAGTCAGCTTTAAGTTGCTCTTTCAGGTTTTCCATACATGTAGGACAGACAGATACACTCTCCATGACACAGTCCACATAGATATTGGTGCTCTCCATCAGCTCCTGTTCCTCAGTGGACATGCGTGATGTTACAGGCGAGCGTGACAGTGTATCTGCTGTCCAAAGCGACTTCCCTGGCAAATGCACGATAGAGTACGTGTAGCGCATCAGTCTCATCCCGAAGCGTTGGATCCTTGGTGGTAGTAAATCCAGTGCTTGAGCTCCAAATTGTTGTGGGCTACAGAATCTCCCCACTACCTTGTGTTCTTTTGTTCCCCACTTCCCTGTGTTTTCTGTCTGTCCTCCCTGTCTGTGTTTGTCTGGGCGTGGCTACACTAATCGAGCTCCTGCAGTATTTCAATCCCAGTCATCCTCACATTCTTCGCCAGATCTTCAGTTAACCACATGTGGTACATGCGTCAAGGCCAACTATCTTCTCCAGTAAGATTCCTTGTCATTTCTGTCTCTCCCTGGATTAACCTGTTTTTCTCTGCGCCCAGGATCACACTACCTCCGGGAACCCTGCTGAACGCCACACCCCGCTCTGCTCCTATCTTGCCTGGACTAACTCCCCGCCTCTGTGTTCTCCATTCTGCCCTGTTGGAACCAACCACCCAGTCCTCCGTTGCACCTTTCAATAAAACCCCTTTGTTACCCCTTCAAACTGTTCCGAGTCTGCCTTTGAGTCCTCAAGTTTTTGCATTATGACAGAAATAGGCTGATGAGGGGTTTATGATCGGTTTCCAGGCAAAAGTGTTTCCCTATAAGGATCCGTTCGCAAGCCCATGTGAGACCCAGGGCCTCCTTTTTCACCTGTGCATAGCGTTGTTCGGTTAGGGTAAGTGACCGAGATGCATAAGCCAAAGGCTTCCATTCTTCCTCCCATCTCTGGAAAAGGACTCCTCCCAGGCCGTATGATAATGCATCAGCTGACACTTTGGTGTCCTTGTTCACGTCATACATGACTAGCACTGGAGGAGAGGACAGGGCTTTCTTCAGTGTTTCAGACACACCAGCTGTTCTACGCCCCAGACCCAGCAGTATTTCTAAGAGAGGAGGTCACGGAGCGGCTTGTCTTTTTCCACCAGTTGGGGAATGAACCTACCCAGCTGATTAACCACCCCAAGGAAACTTCTCAACCAAACCGATGTCTGTGGCGGAAGCTGCTGGCTGAAATGTTGTGACCCAAGAAGACCACCTCAGACATGGAGATTTTACACTTGTCCACATTTAGTGTGATTCCCGCTTTTTCCAGCCTTTGTAGCACAGCATGGAGACGTATGCCGTGCTCATCCTGGCTGCATCCCCATACCAACAGGTCATCAATGTGGCAGATCACACCTTCGAGCCGCTCTGTGACCTCTGCCATCATGCACTGAAAGTGCTCAGGAGCAGAGGCGATTCCAAATGGAAGACGGTTGAAGTGAAACCGCCCAAAGGGTGTAATGAAGGTTGTGTAC